CAAATATGTTCCTTAGGCTTGCTACTTGTATGAATATAACTACCAATATAATGGATCCCCAAACAGAATCATGTCATCAATAACTTCCCATCGGATTCCATATGGACATACATACGAAAATATGTATATACATACTCTTTATACACATACATGCATGCATGCAAGCATACCTACCTACCTATCTACATACATGCACACCTTCCATCAACCCCAAGCCAAAACCCCAATCGAAACGCTGAGGCCCTTGTATTACCTCCCCTAAACCCCTAACCCCTAAACCCTATACCCTAACCCCCTAACCCCTAAACCCTAACCCCTAACCCCTAAACCCTAACCCCTAACCCCTAAACCCTAAACCCATCTCCCACGCCTTCTCCATGGAGTGAGGGCTACCTGGGACGCTCGGCTTAGAGACGTGGACTTTACCGTTGCGTGGTTTAGGGTTTAGGCTTTGGAGTTTCTAGGCTTTAGGCTTTAGGGTTTAGGGGTTTAGGGTTTAGGGTTTAGGGGTTTAGGGTTTTGGGTTTATAGGTTTATAAATGGGGTTTAGGAGGGTTAAGGGTTAAGGGTTCAGGGCTTAGGGCTTACGGTTTAGGGTTATTTAGGGTTGTGCGGCAACTCAGAGGGCTCGGGGCTTTCGCCCTAAGCTACAAGCCTTGTGACGCCAACGATCCGAACCTCTCAGAGACTCCAATATCCCTCGACTAAGGAAATACCTTAAACTCTACTAGGAGCCGAAATATTAATTAAGCAATATTCCTTAATTAGTAGGGGATATTGGTTCCTCTGGGCTTAAGCCCTAGACTTTTTAGGGGCTTCAGTGTTGAGTTCTGGGGCTTGGGGTGTCGGGTCTCGGCGGGGTTCGGCCCAAAACCAAAAGCTCTAAACCCCTGAACCCCCAAACAAACGCCTAAACCGCTACCATAGGGGCCTTAATAATTAGAATAAGGTTTTGGGGCCATACTACAATAAGCAACTCCGAAACAGTGTCGGTACTTAATTCCTTCGGCCCCTAATATCCTCTAATGTAGAACCCTATTATAGATCCCTTATACACCCCTTTAAAGATCCTTTTAAAGGAACCCTAGGTAATAAACCCCAACTCCGGTCCCAAGCTTTCGGTTTACGGACGTTGGGGTTAGAGCGAGGCAGTTACCCTAAGGGTCATGGGGCCCAAGGGACACAAGAATTAGGTACTACTTCGGAAAAATAGGGTTCCTTTAAGGGGGGTCTATAAGGATTACTAAAAGGGGTATCATGGGGTTTTGTATAACCCTAAGGGTCCAAAGCACCCAATAATCAGGTACTCGGGATTGGGATAATAGTTATGTAGGCTAATTGCTATTTTGGAAAGTGTATGAGAATTAGGTGCTGGGACCATCAGGGTTAGCGCTTGACAGCTGCATGGGCTTCATAGCCCGATGACCTTCGACCCCAAATGGGAGTTTCCGAAAATAGGGGACCCTGATATAGTACCCGAGATAGTAGGATCCTTCTTATAAGGACCCCCAAATAAAGTACCCCTAATTTTCGGAAACTCCCAAGTAGCTCCGCAAAGTCCCCTAAAAACCTTGCGGTTCCGCTTTGGTCTAGCTGTTTCGACTTTTCGGGTCGCCGGCCGAAGGCTGCGGGTTTGGGGTTAAGGGGTGAGGGTACTTAAAGGACCACGGGACATAGTAACTAGGGATCTATAGGGGTTCCTTAAAGGGATCTATAGGGTTTGGGGTTTAGGGTCTACTTAAAGGATCATGGGACATAGTAACTAGGGTTACAATTAGGGTAACTATACTTATAACCCTAATTAAGGTACTTATAACCTTACTTACTAAGTCCCATGATCCTCCAAGTAGAACAACCAGCCGCCTGCTACCAAATCCATCCATGCTTCTCATGACTTAAGAGATGGCCCGTACACTGAAGCCAGAACCCCAAGGGTCCAAGTGCCTAATTAATAAGCATATACTCTCCGAAATCCTGACATACCTAACTACTATCCGAAAACCGAGTTCCGAATTATAGGGTCCTTTGGATCCTTGAGGGGACTCAACAAAACATCCTAAGCCCGCAACCTTAGTCGAAGGAGCCCAAAAGGCCTAAATCCCGAACCCTGAATCAACAACTCTGCGCCGACCCATCACTCCCAATAGCCTCAAAACCCATTATAACCATAACCCTTACCCTAAACCCGACACCCTAAACCCTACACCCTAAACTCTAAACCATAAATCTTCGACCCTACTTTCGCGGCTGTCAGGGCACGCATCAGGATCCGCAAGGAGGCGCCACAAGCCTGTCCTCGCCGTCATGCTGAGGATCCGCGCTTACCAGCACCCCACCACCTACCCCTTACTTAGAGGCCCAGGGGACTTGGTAAGTAGGATATAAGTAGAGAGATGTACGTACCCTAGATCTTAGTGGCATCGGTACGCAGCACGTAAAACGCACGTTCTGGAACGCAGTTCGGAACGTGCTCCCGGAACGAGTTGCCAACTATACTACGCAAAGAGGACAGTGCTTCCTTGAGAACGTGAAACGTGAGAACGTATCATGTTGCTCGGAACGTGGAACGTGAATAGAACGTAGCGGGTCTGCTGGGGGTTGCCCATGCCGTCAAACGAGCGGAGAGGTACATGATGGCGGGCGGGGATTCCCGGAACGAGCCTGTTGTGTTGAGGGTTTCTCAACGCCGTCGGACGGACCCAGGCAATTGGAAGGCACAGGATGGTGTACCGACGTGTGCCGAGCTAAGCAGCATGTTGCGCTTGCGCAAGCGGGTTCAGCCCCTGGGGCCGTGCGTTTTTACAGAGCTCTAAAACGCATTATTTCTTCTTTGGGTCGGTTTAAGGGGTTAGGGTTTAGGGTGTTTTCTCTAGGTCCGTGCGTTTTTACAGAGCTGTAAAACGCACTCTTTGTTCTTTGGGGCGGTTTAGGGGCTCGGGGTTTAGGGTGCTTTCTCTAGAGCCGTGCGTTTTTACAGAGCTGCAAAACGCACTATTTGTTCTTTAGGGCGGTTTCGGGGGTAAGGGTTTACTGTGTTTTCTCTAGGGCCGTGAGATTTTACAGAGCCAAAACGCACTATTTGCTCTTTGGGGCGGTTTCGGGGGGTTAGGGTTTAGGGTGTTTTCTCTAGGGCCGTGCGTTTTTACAGAGCTGTAAAACGCACTATTTCGCGGTTTAAGTGTGGTTACGGTTTTATTGGGTGTTTTTTCTAGGGCCGTGCGTTTTTACAGAGCTGTAAAACGCACTGTTTGTTCTTTGGGGCGGTTTAAGGGGTCAGGGTTTAAGCTGTTTTCTCTAGGGCCGTGCGTTTTTACAGAGCTTTGAGTGGCCGTTGGCTGCGTACCCCGAAGAACGCACGTTTTGTCAGTCGGATGCAACCCAATCTGCGCGCCGCCACGTCCTGGCAGAGGGTTTTTGCAGGCCCTTCGTCTGGATTTCGGTTTGCTTGGGCCTTCGGGGGGGGTTGGGGCCCTTCGGTTTTGGAGGGGTGTTCAGGGTGTTGTGGGTTTCGAAGCTTTCGGGGGTAGCTGTGCATTTCACAGGGCTTTAGGAACGCACAGCAGAACTCAATATGAGATTCGGGTTTGGCATCGGGGTAGTCGTGCGTTTCACAGGGCTATAAGAACGCACAACACATTGTCCAGCCAAAGACTCCAGAACTCAAGCACACTGAGGTATCAGATTTCGGGCTTGGGACGATACGACTCCAAACACTTCGAGCTCGTAGAGTTTAGAGACAGCCGAATTAAACCACAGACTTACAGGGAAAGCCAGACAGTTGGAACATTACCCTTTAGCCATTAAGGTAAAGCAAACGGAATCCCAGCATCGATATTCATGTTCCAACTTTTTCGGGTTCACTATAAACCCTAATGTAGGAAGCTGATTAAGAAACCTTGGGCATTTATTAAGCTTCCTTATATGAACCCTATTATTTTGGGGTTATAGGCCCGCGGTTTCCTAATCAGGTTCCTACATTAGACCGGGTTTTTGCACCCTAAACCCTAAATCCCCTTGTAAGCCAAAAGGCTTCTGAAGATACTCGGTCCGTGGATTCGCTTGCGTGAGACCGGTCTAGGATAATGTAGGGGCCTTAATTTTTCTTAATAATTAGAATAAGGTTTTGGGGGCTCCTGATGAGAATTCTGGTATAACATACACCGAAACCCTATTCTAATTGTTAAGGCCCCCATAGTACTACTGCAGCTCCCTTCGTACACCCCCATACAAAACTGTAAAACGCATTATGTTCAGGGCCCTTGAAGCAAGCTTTTCCGGAACGAAGCTCAGGCCTCCCTTCGAGAAGCAAGCAAAGACTCCTGAGTCAAGAGTCCTCGCCGCCAGACAGCAAAACTGATGCAAAACTGCAAAACTGACCTCTATCAGATCATCAGATCAGTTCAAAGTGCGCACATTCTTGAACGCCTTCTCGCGAATGCGCGCACTGGAACGCGTGCTAAAGCGCCCATGCCGTTGCGCGAGCTCCTCTTCACTGTAGCCGGGGGGAGCTTTGCTACGGGACTTCTTGGGCTCCTGAGGGGCCAACTCTCCTCCACACTTGTGGCAAATCCCGTCGCGGGAATCAGCCACCTTGAGCGAGCACTTGACGCACCACCCATCGGTGACAGGCGCCTGCTCGGAATCATTGTTGTTTTCTCATATGTTGGTTGACAGTTGGCCCCCTCGGGTGTGTTTAAGTCCCTGCTTAGAATTATTATTTTTGAGCTGTAGAACGCATTATTTGTTCTTTGGGTCGGTTTAGGGGGTTAGGGTTTAGGGTGTTTTCTCTAGGTCCGTGCGTTTTTACAGAGCTGTAAAACGCACTCTTTGTTCTTTGGGGCGGTTTAGGGGCTCGGGGTTTAGGGTGCTTTCTCTAGAGCCGTGCGTTTTTACAGAGCTGCAAAACGCACTATTTGTTCTTTGGGGCGGTTTAGGGGGTTAGGATTAAGGTGTTTTCTCTAGGGCCGTGCGTTTTTACAGAGCTGTAAAACGCACTATGCCTACTTCAGCGCCTCCTCGATAGCACGCTTGGCACCACGCAGCTTCGGAACGACCTGTGATTTGTGAGGATGACGGTTGAGGGCTTCGGGTTTAGGGATTAAATAGCTTAGGGTGGAGGTTGTATGTGCTTTTCAACACTCTTGAAAACACTGAACTCTCACCGGCCTTCGGTGGAGGCGGCGGGATGGGAATGACATCTCCCCAGCGTACATTTTGAAGCTCTCCATGAAGACGGTAGTCTTGGAGCATGACTGTGCCACGCCTGGCGTGTCTCGCAGCAATGGCCCCTCTGACAAAGGCTTCGACTCCCAAGGCCGCCGTTGCTTGCATGAGTGTGTTCACGGCGTCTGTGGAGAACCTGAAGTCTGGCTTGCCTTGGTCGATGAGGATGTCACGAAGGATCCTCAGGAACCCTGCCCTCTGGAAAAGGGGCTTGTCCCAATGTCGCTGGAGAAAACGTATCTCAGCCTCCGCACTGCGAGCCTGCTCGAATGGGGACCGTATAGACATGACCCAAAAATTAAGCAAAAGCTTGTGCAACACCCAAGCCCTCACCCCGAAGCAGCCTGTCCACCGAACCGGCCAGAGCTTCGGACCTGAACTTGCTGGTGTTTTTTTGGGCGTCCGCCTTTGCCATGGTTGCCACTGTACTGTTCACGGGACGGCACTTCGCCAACCGCTTTGTTTGCCAACCATGGCGGTTCGAGAAACCCTGTCAAGATCACTCTCAACATCACGATCTCCCGTAGGCACACCGGGAGCCAGAACACGGGTAACAAGTTGAGCACCTCCCGGTAGTCGGCCTCTGCCTCCATGGCCGGCGCCGCCATGGTACGAGGAGGGTCGGGACAGAGCTACAAGTGCACTTGAAAAGCTCGAAGACGGGGCACCGCGTGCGAATTGCACTTTGCAGAAATGGGACACGGTTTTAAGCTTAACGCCCTCCCAGTGCGCACTCCTTCAACAAAGCTTCCCAGAGAGCTCAATACCCCTTACCCCCTCCTTGGAGGCCTAGAAGACTTAGTATGTAGGTTATAAGTAAAGTATCCTAAATGGAGATACCCCAATAATAACTACCCTACTTATAGCCGACTTACGAAGTCCCCCGGGCCTCCAAGCAGAGAGCTCAATTCCAAGGGTAAAAGGAGGGACCCTTAATAAGGACCCCTAGGTATATACCCTTAATATAGATAATACTATATACCCATTATATAGCCCATTATAGGGTAGGGGTCCCCATTCAGGGTCCGTCCTCTTCCCCTGTGATCACTACGCCCTAGTTAAGGAATATGGCCATAAATTGGGGTTCATTCAAGGGCTTCTTTACGGTTTTTTAATGGAGTTTTTGTAAGACCCATATAGCCGTTAATGAAGGAATATAGCTTAAATCAGAGTATGAAGCCCCTTATGATTTAAGGTATGTTCCTTATTTCAGGTGCATTGGGCTCTCTGGGTTTGTGTTCCCCATATCTTAAACCCTACACCCTAACCAGTAAACCCTAGGCGAGCTGAACACCGATTACAAAGAGACAACGGTAGTTTACCAGAAGCCCTAAACGCCCTTGGAACCCTAAACCCAAGCCCTAAAACCCTAAAACCCAAAGCTTTCAAAGACCCTAAACTCTAAACGCATGCCGTAAATTCTGAACCCTAAAGTTAAATCCATGCCCCCCAAAAGCCTTCCGCGACTCGAAACCTAAAATCCTAGACTCTAAACTCCAAAACGCCGGAATCCTGGTCGGTGGTGTCGTGCGCCGTGCTGCGGAGCTAGGGGCCGAGGTTGCCGGAGAGTGGAAGTACGACCTGGCGGTTCGCTTTAACTTGTAAAAAACTTTGTAGAGGTTTTAGATGGTGTAGGGATCAGGGTTTGGAGTTTAGGGTTTCTGTAACTTTTTAAGAAAACTTTGTGGAGGGTTGTATAAGGTTGCTATACAGACTTTACAGATTTTCTTATTGGCCTCGACGCTTTAAATGTGTCTCCGTTGCCATTTATGGTTTGTGTAAGCGGTCTGCGCAGCGTTTTTCAGGGTTCAGAGAGTTTTCTACAGGTTCTCACAAGCTGTCATCCGGGTTGTGTAAAGGTGCGAAAAGTTTGTAACGATATTAGACATGCAAAGAGGTTCAGGGTGTAGAGTAGCGCAGCTTGGGTTTTGGGTTCGCGGCTTCGGCGCTGGAGGGTGAAGGTCTATGTCTAGAGTTTGGCGTGAAGTCTACACGGGGTCCCTTCAACAAGATCCACCAACGTTAGAAAGACCAAGACAAAGCAAAACAACAAGAAGCAAACGCCTGCAGCCCGACAAGAACCCTAAACCTAAACCCTAAACCCCAAACCCATAAAACCCAAACCCCTAAAAACGAATCAGTGACAAGCCCTAAAAGGCTTGAACCCTAGCCATCCCCTTTTGTTATTTAGTAGTTTTACTTTACGAGCTTCAACTCCTGGCAAATTGGAATCCGGACTCCAGGCGATGTCCTCCAAACCCTGCCACCCGTAAGTGTCTAACCTACCTTAAACTACCAAACCCTACTTTCTTGTAGGTTCTTATTATAAACCCTAATATGGAATTTCCAGGGACCCTACAAAAAAGTAGGTTTTGGTAGGTTAAGGTATACCTTGAATTACCAAAACCTACGTTTTTGCGGGTTTCCAGGGTTTGTAATCAGAACCCACGACCATGCCTCAACAATCCTGAACCCAGAGTCTTTATGCCAGTAGGGGGTTGCCGTTCCAACGTTCCCTTACTTAGAGGATCATGGGACTTAGTAAGTAGGTTATAACTGGGGTTATAAGTCCTCTAAGTGGTGGTGGTGGTGGTGGTGGTGGTGGTGGTGGTGGTGGTGGTGGTGGTGGTGGTCGTGCCCCGGTTGCCACCCCCATCCCAGGACGGGGGTGGGGAACCGCATTTTGATTTCCCTTTTCGGGCACGGGTGGTGGTGGTGGTGGTGGTGGTGGTCGTGCCCCGGTTGCCACCCCCATCCCAGGACGGGGGTGGGGAACCGCATTTTGATTTCCCTTTTCGGGCACGGGTGGTGGTGGTGGTGGTGGTGGTGGTGGTGGTGGTGGTGGTGGTGGTGGTGGTGGTGGTGGTGGTGGTGGTGGTGGTGGTGGTGGTGGTGGTGGTGGTGGTGGTGGTGGTGGTGGTGGTGGTGGTGGTGACTACTACACGAGGAGATTTTGCTGGTTCGGTTAACGGGCAAGGGTGTTTATGGAGGCTTACTACAGCAGGACATGGGCGAAGGTCTCAGCGCACAGGAGGGCCCCAAACCTTAAACCCAAACCCTTAGCCTAAACCTAAAGCCGGGACCCACCTCACGGAAGGCTGAGGTGCGCAAGCTGGGTTCTCGTCTTGCCCTTTGCTTCCGTGGACGTGGGTTTTGAGGCTTTAGGGCTTTGGGCTTAAGGATTTAGGGTTTAGGGTTCTCGTCTTTTTTTTGAGGTTTCAAAAAGTGGGATGAAGCATCCCTTCTACACGGACTCTCGTTGTGGTAAACACATACCCTTAAACTCTAAAACCCCAAACCCTCAACCCTGAAACCCAAAGCCAAACTAGCCTAAACCGGGGACTGATGGCTGCAGTTCGGCGATAGGGTGAAGGCCGGTAAGCGCAGCACGCTCGGATCTCGGGCGCAGATGGCGAATCGCAGGTTCGCCTTTGAAGAGACAGGGCTTCCGGTTTTTAGGTTTTTGAAGGTTCAGTTCTTGGCTTCGAATTCTGTGCGTTTTGACAGGGTCCAAAAACGCACTTTGCGGGTTTGAGGTTGAGGGTTTAGGGTTGAGGGCCTACGGCTTGGGGTTTTGGGGTTTGTTTTTTTGTAGGGCTAGACATGCCTGGGAGTGACAGGGCTAAGAGCTGAGGACGTGGGTTCGGATTCGAAATGCGTTGTAAGAGGGTCGAAAAACGCACTTTGAGTTTTCAGTGCTGGCTTCAAAACTCACAACATTGCCCTAAACCCGAACCTAAACCAACCCTAAACCAAGCCTAAACCAACCCGAAACCAAGCCTGGACCAACCCTAAACCGTCAAACCTGAACCCTAAACCGTAAACCCCAAACAGACCCTAAACCCTAAACCCGAATCCTTGAACGAACCTGGAATCACCCAGCCCTGCACCGTGAGGATTCCGTTCCTCACCTCAGCCGGAAACCTCAATCACCGGTCCCTAAACCCCTTTGAAGGGACTTCCAGGGGGGCTTACGGCTGCGTAAGTCCTGAAGCCCCTCAGCCCTGTCCGTGTTGGAGCCTTTTTTTGCAACGCTTTATAGTAACCTGAACAGCAACCGCCCGTATAGCATCTCTTGGAAGGAATCTTTAAAAACTGCAACCCTCAACCCTTAGATCATCCTTTTAAAGACACCCTAATCCTAAACCCCAGATGCGTACAGCATCTCCTTATCGGAATGTTAAACCCCAAACCCTTGCAACAAATGTCTCTAAAAGCATCCCAACACCTTGAAGAAGGACAGTCCGAGCGGCACCATGTTGAGTACGAAGGCTTTAGCCCCCCACCAGACCTTGTAAACCCTGCGACATCAACATCTCTCAACCCCAGTCGCCACCAAAAGCTTCTGGGGCTGCGGACACCTTTCTGCTGCCATGGCAGCCATTCTTTGCGCCCATCTTGCACCAAAGCCTGTCGCGGCCCTGTGCGTTTTCAGCCAAGCCAGAAACGCATGGCAACCCCTCTGTACCGTATTGCAATGGAAACATTGGCAACGTGGCCCCTGTGCATGTGCAGCTGGTCCTGACGAAGACGAGCCAAACCCAAGCCTTCTATGGGAACCTGAAATTGTCCAGTTGAAGGTGCAGTCACATTCGGCTTCTGCTGGCAGCATCGCTTGCAAGATTCAATAATAGTTACAACAGGGCACCCTTGAAAACAGCGACGGCATGGCAGGTCTGCAAAGATCGTGCGTGCCTTTCTGGGCGCCGCCCTAGACGCACACAAACCATGAACTGACATGTAGCAGCGAAGTGTCCACAAAACCTTGTGTCTGCCAAGCGAGACACCCTCTCTGCCTTTTCCTCTTGTTCACTGAACTCCGCTCCCCCCATGCATGGCATGGGCGATTAGAGGCGTTTCCACGCAGAGACTAAGCGCATAGCGAACTATAGACTATTATGCAATACAGATACACTTGGCTTATGGTGTCTCACCACAATGAGTTTGTGAGAACCGTGAAAACGCACAGACACCGTGGTCGCGGCTCCCCGGCTGAGGTTAGCCACATGAGACTCGACAACAAGGCATCACAGTCTGATGACTTGAGAAACACACACAGAGAGAACGATCCAAGTTTACTTACTTCCCAAACAATGATGGCGATCATATTAATTAACATCTTCCTCTATGCTTTTGCCTGTTGTTCACTAAACCCCGATCCGCCAACTGGCATTGGCGGCCCGATGCGTTTCCAGGCAGAAACTAAGCGCACAGCGAACTCCAGACTATTATACAATAAATACACTTGGCTTGTGGTGTCTCATCGCAATGCGTTTCTAATTGCCGTGAAAACGCACAGACACCCTGGTCGCGGCTCCCCGACTGAGGTTAGCCACATGAGACTGGAGAACAAGGCATCACGGCATCACGATCGGATGATCTGAGAAGCTCCCACAGAACGATCCAAGAATACAGAGTGCCCAGACTATGATTGCGAAACATACTAACATGTTCCTCTTTGCCTTGTTGCTCAGGAAATCCTGGGCCGCCATTGGCGGCCCGAGAAGAAACATTTCAGGGCTCCAGGCCCAAAGCACGCAAGGCACTGGCAGCTACTGCCTCTTCAGGGGCATCGCTACCCTCCAAATCATCCACAAGCGAATCACCTGGAAAGCCTTGATCTTCATCTTCATTTTGGTCGGGAATCTCGCGCACATTGCTGCTGCTGGAAGAGGACGAGCTGGAGGAGCTCGTAGAGGAAGACGACTCATCACAGCGTTGTGGACCTTCAGCGGCGGGCTCCGATGGACCGGCACGACGACTTGCGAGGGTCGGAATCTCAAAATCATGCCTTCGACGCTTCCTCTCTGGCGGCATGGGAGCAAGGTCCGGGTAAAGAAGCTTCCAGTTGGCGGCGATGTTCAACAACCGTTTCTTGGCAGGGTAGATGAGTCGGGCACGGATCGGCTGAGCTTGGCGACTAAGTGTTGCCCAAGTTCTTTCGGACATGCCTTGGGAGCCTGCAAGGGCTGCAAAGTGCAGGCCCAATTCACGCAGGAACCAGGATGGCTGGCCGGTCTCGAAAAACCCCACCACATCCGCGACGGAAGCACTCTTGTCGGGCCAAGTGACATTCTTGAAGGGCCCGGAGTGTGCCAAGTAGTCGCGAACAGCCGACTGGGCTTGCCTGACCTGTGTGGGCTCGGAGAAAAACTTTGGGAGGTACTCGCTGTTGAGCACATAGGCGGCGTCCTTCACGCGCTACGTGGATCAAAGTACGGAAAACAAGTTACAGCATCATCTTTGCAACAAAACGAGTTTGGGCTTGGATGGCCTGTCGAGCTTGCGTGAAAGAGAAGCCAAGCTCTTCATCTGCATCGGGGTCGTTGACGTAGTCTTGCAGCCGGGGGTCCAAAACGAATGCAGCCTTGTGGGCAGCGGTGCAGTAAGCCTCAGAGCGCTTGTCCAAAATCTCAGCCATGGCATTCCTTCGAGTCTGGAGCACTGCCTCTGTCTCCTTGCGTTTGTGATCCACGAAGTCATGGTCGGCGACGGCCTTGATGATGTCGTTGCGGGCGTGCAGCCAGGCAGCGTGGGCTTTGAAAAAGTCTGCACCGCCAACTCTGCGGGTAAGAACCTCTGTCGCAGGCATGTGGATTTGGAATCAATCACAGCTTGCAAATCCTTCAAACATTTACATTGTACAGCTACAGACTTGCACACAGGAAGTCTGGAACGACTGCACAATAAACGACTGAAACTTGTAGCGGACGCAAGTGCATTTTGCAGGGTTGACAATAAGCACCCAGACATGAGGACGTTCGAAATATTGGGGACACGAGTGGGTTTCCTGAGTGGCTGCTTGATTGTCACAGGACGCGTGCGTTTTCTGCAAAAACGCACAGGGAAGAAGCGCAAATCTGTGCGTTTTCCGCGCCTGGAAAAACGCACAAGGGAGGGTCGGGTCGCAATTCCAAGATGACTGAGAGTCCAGAAACATGCAATTTTCCAGTCAACTGGGCCAGGGACGGCGCAAGGAGCTCCAATGATCAGAGCACGTCGTGCTCTGTGGTATGTGGCATCGTAAGACCAAGCTTTCATAGCCTCGTCCACCCTCTTCTGCTTCCTGGCGTTGTCAACCTGCATGGTGGCCGCAAAGGCAGGAGCTGCAATGACCCTCCGCATCAGCGGAGTGTTGAGCAGAAAGGAGTCAAGGACTTGCACCCGGGAATTGAATCGGGTTCTTCGAATCACTCTGAGCTTTCGGAGACGACGCAGCTTCCCAACAGATACTGCATGCTTCTGGGCGCCCGTCACAAAGGCCCGTGCACGCTTCCTCTTTAGAATCACCTTCTGTGCATTGTGAGCACGTTCGTGAGACTCCTGACAGGAGCCGAATCTGAGCTGAGCATCATGCGAAACTAGTAGCAAAGACACAGACTCTGATGCTCAGAAAGATCCTGGACCCAAGGTATGCAGCGTGCAAGGTCTTGATGAAGAAGTTGGGCGACATGTTCACCGCAAGAGACATAATCCAGGCGATGGTGGCCCGAGGCACGTAACTCTTCCGCAAGGAGACGGAATGCTTTCCGGCAAGTGCTAGCTGTGTCCTGGCCTTAGAGACTTAAAAAGAATAGGACTGTTCACAAGTCTCTGCTGTATAATTAAGCCAAGAGCTTAGGCCAGCCAATCTCCCCGGTGGAATCAGGTCGGTGTGAACCTCAGGAGCGCTGGAGATTCTGCATGCTTTTCGGAAGAAGACACATATGCTCAGAGTGATGCTGACTGACTGGGTCTGCCACTTTCAATTGTTGCTTGATCCAGACAGCATCTTGCTTTCGCCATTCCCCATTGATCAAAGCTAAATGGTAACAGTCACCATGAGAGTTTCTGCAATCGATCGAGAGCAAGCCCTCACCCTTGCTGGTCGCCCCGTCACTGGTGAGGAACCACATCTGAGAAGCATCACTCAGCAGCTCTCTCAATTTGCAAGAGATGGCCTCATCAAGCTCTTTGATGAGGCTCCAAATCCTGTGTCGTTCTGGGATTCTGTATTCTGGCGAGAGAGTCTTGAGAAAGGCTCGCCACATCGGATGCTCGTTGGAGCGAACCTGAAGATGCAAAGATGCACTTGACGCGTCATGTACTGTCAGCTGCATCAACATCCTGGGCCCGAGCAGACATGGCAGCGCACACCATGGCCACCACGTGTTTGCGCTCGGCTGCTCCTGGGCATGGGCCACACAAAAACCGCTGTGCGTTTTTCAGGGTCCGGAAAACGCACCCTGAAAACATTCTCCCTCCAGCGAAAGTTCTACAGTCTAAAGTTTAGCAAAAGCTCCCTGATCCAAGGCATGGCCAGCCATCTGCAGCTCACCTTGCGCTGGGCTGGACGTCCGAGAAGGTTTCCATGACAAAGGCAGCCATCTGTTGAACTTGCACCAGGTTATGGCAGCTGGCTCTCCCAAATCAGCCATGTTCAGGGCTTCTTCCTTGTCGACGGGTTGTTCGCACGGAGAGGTGCAGTTCCCTGTGCCACGATATCGTTCAATAAACTGCTGTGTCTCCTGAGGCACTTGGTTCTTCGACTCTAGACCATGAATGTCCAAGTACGACGAAAGCTTCACGTGTTTGCCAAACACCGCATGCTCGAACAATCTATTCGCACTTCTCTGGCGACACGTCCAGGAACACCGCCTGCAGAAATATGTGTGCTTGTCATTCAAGATCCCGCAGATGAAGCGGCCTGATACGGAAAAGGTTGAGCTAACAGTCGGGCAATGCAGTGAACCCTTCAGGGCCAAATCGATCAAGAACTGCCTGGACCTAAATGCACGAGGCATCCGAAAACGTACGTGTGCGTTTTCAGCCGGCTTATAAACGCACCAATCCGTGTCCACTGTTACAATTTCTATGGAGCGGACCCTCAATGAAATCCCCTCCTATGCCTTTGCTCCTGTGTCGCCCAGAAATGGTGCGTTTTGAGGGGTCCAAGAAACACATGGAGTGTCCGGCCTCTGAGAAACTGCAGACTCCTGTCCGTCAGGTTTCGAGTAGGCCATTTGCCAGCAGCCACCGCAGCCGCATCATGTCCCAGCCGCTCCAGATCTGCTGCAAGAGCAGCATCTAGCGGCTCTCTTGCCATGATGCACCAGGCCAATGCAAGCAGACTACAACTCAGGGCCAAAAGGTGCAACTTGATCAGGTCTTTCAGAACGTACGGTCTCAGAACGCACGATTTCAGTACGCACGATAGTTACGTCAGAACGTCCGTGCCGAGGCCACTAAGCCCTAGATGGAGCTCCGCCAAGTATAGACCAATACTTATAACCGACTTACTAAGTCCCCTAACCCTCCAAGTACTGCAGCCCAAGTACCCACTATTAGAATCTATTAACGACCATAAGGCCTCCATTAAAGAGTACTTGGGGGGTTGCTGGAAATACTGGGACCTGATAGTAGTGGCACGTAATTCAGCTTCCACGTCAGCGTGCAAGAGCCCAGAGTCTGGCAAAAACCGCTCGAGTTCGGGTTCGGGCTGTGGGACGTCGGTTCTGGGTATAAAGCTGTACCTTAACCCGGGTATCATAAGAAGGAACCCTAAAAAAGTAGGTTATTCAGGGTTAAGGTATGGTTTAAGCACGCCAAGAGGCTCCCCAGTGTTGCCAATGACGAACGTTTACTTAACCCTAATTGGGTAGGTATTCCGCGATTGAATGCATAAAGTAATGACGTATAACTCCAATTCAGTTAAAGGTACTTATAACTTTATTTACTCAGTCCTAGGTCCTAAGATCTTCCAAGTCTTGATAGCTTTGACAGGGCATCTGTCCTGTGGCGACGAAGTGTGCCTTGTGCACCCTGGCGAGGACGGATGCACGAAGGAGCAAGGGAACAAATCGGTTCCAAGGGGGGCCTTACACCCTCTTCACCCCAAAACCCCAAACGCTAAAACGGTGGATTTCAGGTTTGTAGGGCTGAGGAGTTAACAAAAACTGGCAGCTCTTGCCTATCGAACAAGCACTACCCCCTAAACCCTAAACGCAGTGACAGCAACCAAGGCGTTTGAGACCAGCTTCGGTCCCATGCATAAGCCAGCAAGTAGCTAAGAACTTCCTTAGGGCCCCAAATAACACATAAGCAAAAACTAGGATCGGGATCTCCCATATACATCCCCTTATGAAGGGGATGCAGGTAGGGACATCCCCTGTAAAATGCTTATGCTCATGCCCTTTTGGGCTCCCTAACCCCTGCCGCAGCTTCGATCTGATGGGTAAGCGGCAATGTAGCCGAACACTGGGCCGGGCTTGATAACAGGCTTAACATGGGGGCCCTCGCAATGCGAAGAGGTGTTGGGGCCATTACAGTTTCCAGGATTTTAAGTGTTCCGGGTGAAAAAAGACATTACTTTAGCGTAAACTCTACGTTTCTGTGACATTCATGGCATAAAATTGCGAATGTTGAGGCCTCGATCTTGTAGGGGCAGTTCTATAAATCTAGGGCCGTTCGAGGTCCGAGTGATAGGTCGTGCTCCCTCAAGGAGCCAAACGGCGGACCGTGATTCAGAGAACATCCAGAGGAGCATGCAGCTGGAAATGAAAATGTCAACTGAAGGTAGGCTGTAGAAGAAACTTGCACAAAGCCTTAAAGCAGGGTGTGGTTGCGATCGAGGGTTCATACTGTTGATGGATAAAATCCTGCATGACCCTAAGGACTCTTAACTATGGGAATTATGGTATCTTCCTTATAATGGGTAATGCAGGATTTTGTCCATCAGCAATATTCCGGGTTGTTTGACAACGGCCGCAAAAAACGCAAACGGTGTGCAGGGCGACTCCTGCGATGTCCAAAAACTCAAGGCCGTGCAAGCGCCTGATAATTTCCTCAAGGGGGAAAGTGGGGACCCTTAATAAAGAAGACCCCCAGGTATATACCGCGGTTAAGGGTTTAGGGTTTAGGGTTATATACCCTTAATATAGCTATCATATACCCATTATATAGCCCATTCTAGGATAGGGGTCCCCATTAAGAGTCCCTCCTTTTCCCCTTTGAATTTTGAACCTGCAGCTCCCCGGAGACTCCTCGGGTTGATGACATATGGGGTTTAGGTTTAGGGTTTAGGGTTTAGCATACGGTTGATGATATAAACCCTGCATGAATCATAGTAAGGAATATACCATAATTCCCGTAGTTTAGGGTCCTTTAAGGTAATGCAGGATTTATATCATCAGCAGTATAACCCTCAATTATGGAATATCCCTTAAAATGTGGTAGGATCCCTAATATGATGTAAGGTATGCTCCTTACTTCCCTTATAGAACCCTTATACAAATCCCTTTAAGGTCAGGAACCCTTAGGTCTATTCCTCCCTTAAAGGGGTTTTGGAATCTCTGGAGGAGGAAGACGGGCCCGTGGCGCTTCAACTCGTCGAGGCATTGACAAATCAGGTGCCAATCCCCAAAGCTCCAAGCCTTGGCGCTTCAAAGACTTTCTTAAACAAAGGGCCCTCAAGGCCTTAAGGTTTATAGGGTTTAGTTTAGGGTTTAGGGGGAGTACTAAGAGGCTCTATAATAAGGCTCCGTTTAAGGGTATTAATCATGAGAGTCTATCAGCTATAAGGTCACCAAAGCCTTAAGAGCGTCCCTAGTCCCTTAGATAAGTTTACTTTGGGATTTGGGGTTTAGTTTAAGGTTTAGGGTTTATTTTGGTTCTATAAGGAGTCTCCAAAGCTCCAGGCCTCAGCACGTTAAGGTTTAGGGTTTGGGGCTTTACGCGTCCCTTAAAGGAAGCCCTAAAGGAACCCTGTAGGGTAATATGTATTATGAGAGTCTATAAGGTCTGAATGGTATACAAGGAGTCCCCAAAGCTCCATGCACTGGCGCTTTGAAGCGTCACTTAAGTAAAGGTCCCTTGGGGTTTAGGGTTTAGTTTAGGGTTTAGGGTTACAAGACGTCCCCTTGGCTCTTAAACGGCCCTTTTAAGGCTTCTGAGGATTCCTTTTGTACAGAAGGCTTCTATCCCTAGGCATCTAAGGACTCATCTATTAAGGCCTTTGGGCCCAAAGACCATACTTTATAAGGCTTTTGGGCTATTTTGATGCTCAGGGTGTCAGGGTTTTCGGAATGAAAAGGGTGTCCTTTTTAGTTTAAAGGGGCTTATCAGGGAACCTGAACCCTTAAAAAGGGAATAAGGGCCTACTCGTTGCTGCATAGATCTCTTCGTGGGGTACTTTTAATACCGTCCTGAGATCTGTTGGATTGGGTAGAATGTGAATCAAGGCGACATGTAGTACTACCCTTGCTCTAACGATGTCACTCTGGTTCGTGAAACATACGGCCCAAACCATGGCATTGAAGACCGCATCGAACTCGGCAAGAGGCCCCAGAAGCTTGACAGCCCTGTCGTATTCAGGATCTCCGGGCTCGCCGGTGAGGGCCATGTGTGCTAGGACCACCTGCTTCTTCGCCCACTTCCTCATCTTTTCTGGAGCCTTAGGCGTACCCTCGGCACAGCGGCTTGAGACTGAGGGAAGGTCCTCGAGTTTAATGCCCGCCAGGAAATCACCGGGAGCAACATAGATCCTGCCCCTCTGAAGGCGGATCTTCGTGACCATATCTTCGAACATAAGAGAGGTCTTCACCCTGCCGAAGGCTCCCCAACGCTCCGGGCCCTGGCGTTTTAAGGGTCCCTTAAGGATATGGGTGGTTTTCAAAATTAGGGTCCCTTTTTGGGTACCCTAAGTATTAGGGTTTAGGGTTTAGGGAAAATTAGGGTATAAATCCTACTACTTTGGGATTTCTTACTCATGGATTCTCCGGGTTCTCTAAAAGGGTTCCTTACAGGGGTTTATGTGGGTGGTTTTCAAAATTAGGGTCCCTTTTTGGGTACCCTAAGTATTAGGGTTTAGGGTTTAGGGAAAATTAGGGTATAAATCCTACTACTTTGGGATTTCTTACTCATGGATTCTCCGGGTTCTCTAAAAGGGTTCCTTACAGGGGTTTATGTGGGTGGTTTTCAAAATTAGGGTCCCTTTTTGGGTACCCCAACCCTGAGCATCCCATATTGATTACAATCAATCAATTTCGCAAACAGATATTGATTTTTGGCGCAGCGCCAAAAATCAATATGCAGAAAAAACGACATATTGATTAGCATATTGATTAGCATATTGATTAGCATATTGATTAGCATATTGATTAGCATATTGATTAGCATATTGATTCGCATATTGATTCTCATATTGATTCTCATATATGATTTTCATGACATTTTCATGATGGATGTGCATGCTTGGAAAAGCATGCATAATGCGATTGATTTGGCATATCATGTGCTGCAGTGCATGTTTTTGGAGTGATCGAATTGCATGCCCGCCGCTGCCCGCCGTGCTCCCAGCGAGAGTGTACAGTTCAGAAGCAGTCCACCAGGCAAAAGTAGGCCGACCGCTTTCGACTTTCTCGGCCTCCTGGCTGCGAAAAATTGAGACATGGAGCTTGATTTTCGTCTCTTGCATGTACGTTTTCGCATGTTGGCATTTTTTGGAACGTGTGCATGTATATATATATATATATATATATATATATATATATATACACGGCAGTGCGAGGCTCCGAGCATGCATGCATGGACCATGCAGGACAGCATGACACAGCAGAGCACACAGACAGAACACTTTCACAGAGAGAAGCAACTGGGTTTCTTCAAAGACCTTGGGGGTCTATATGTGATATATATATATATATATATATAGATTGTGGGGTTTAGGGTATAATAGGCCGGGACTTTATAACTCTCTCTCTACTTCAGGCCGGGTTTTTAGCCTGGGGGTGTGGGGGTTCAAGTCTACCTTCAGGTTGTAGTGCCGCTTTAGGTCCTTCTAGGGCCGCCGGTAGGGCCCTCCCTTCTTGGGGTTCCTTAGGCCTATAGCAGCACAGTCGCAGACACAGTAGGTTGTAGGCTAGCAGTCGTAGCCAGCAGCCGTAGTTTTGAGCCATAGTCCCGGCTCACGGCTTGGAAAAGCCTGTAGCCGAAGAGCTGCAGGCTTGGAAAAGCTTGTAGCTGCTGGAGGCTTCGGCAGCCTCGACAGGCTTGGAAAAGCCAGCTCTCCAGCTGGCTTGGAAAAGCCATGGGCTGGCAGAACGACAG